CGGGGAGACACGGGGGAGACACGGGGGAGACACGGGGAGAGAGAGACACGGGGAGACACGGTGAGACACGGGGGAGACACGGGGAGACACGGGGAGACAGGGGGAGAGACACGGGGAGACACGGGGGAGACACGGGGGAGACACGGGGAGAGAGAGACACGGGGAGACATGGTGAGACAGGGGGAGAGACACGGGGAGACACGGGGGAGACACGGGGGAGACACGGGGGAGACACGGGGAGAGAGAGACACAGGGAGACACGGTGAGACAGGGGGAGAGACACGGGGAGACACGGGGAGACACGGGGAGACACGGGGGAGACACGGGGAGAGAGAGACACAGGGAGACACGGTGAGACAGGGGGAGAGACACGGAGAGACACGGGGAGAGACACGGGGAGACACGGGGGAGACACGGGGAGAGAGAGACACAGGGAGACACGGTGAGACAGGGGGAGAGACACGGGGAGACACGGGGAGAGACACGGGGAGACACGGGGAGACACGGGGAGACACGGGGAGACACGGTGAGACAGGAGGAGAGACACGGGAAGACACGGGGAGAGACACGGGGAGACACGGTGAGACAGGGGGAGAGAGACACAGGGAGACACGGTGAGACAGGCGGAGAGACACGGGGAGACACGGGGGAGACACGGGGAGAGAGAGACACAGGGAGACACGGTGAGACAGGGGGAGAGACACAGCGAGACACGGGGAGACACGGGGAGAGAGAGACACAGGGAGACACGGTGAGACAGGGGGAGAGACACGGGGAGACACGGGGGAGACACGGGGAGACACGGGGGAGACACGGGGAGAGAGAGACACAGGGAGACACGGTGAGACAGGGGGAGAGACACGGGGAGACACGGGGAGACACGGGGAGAGAGAGACACGGGGAGACACGGGGACAGAGACAGGGTCAGTATCAAACCCACGACCTCCTGTATACCAGGCAAGGTAGTTCACATCTCCCACACCCAGTTGAATGAGTGGGGGTGGTGTGTGTGACTGTGTGTGTGACTGTGTGTGTGTGTCACTGTGTGTGTGACTGTGTGTGACTGTGTGTGACTGTGTGTGTGTGACAGTGTGTGTGACTGTGTGTGTGTGTGACGGCGTGTGTGTGACAGTGTGTGTGACAGTGTGTGTGTGTTACTGTGTGTGTGTGAGAGTGTGTGTGTGTGTGTGACTGTGTGTGTGTGACTGTGTGTGTCTGTGTGTGTGTGACTGTGTGTGTGTGACTGTATGAGACTGTGTGTGTGTGACTGTGTAAGTGAGACTGTGTGTGACTGTGTGTGACTGTGTGTGTGTGACTGTATGAGACTGTGTGTGTGTGACTGTGTGACTGTGTGTGTGTGACTGTATGAGACTGTGTGACTGTGAGTGTGTGTGTGACTGTGTGTGTGTGACTGTGTGTGTGTGTGATTGTGTGTGTGTGTGTGATTGTGTGTGTAAGTGTGACTGTGTATGTGTGTGTGTGTGACTGTGTGTGAGACTGTGTAAGTGTGACTGTGAGTGACATTTCAGGCCGAGTGGACCTGTCTGTGACTGTGTGACTGTGTGACTGTGTAAGTGTGACTGTGTGTGTGACTGTGTGTGTGACTGTGTGTGTGACTGTGTGTGTGACTGTGTGTGTGTGACTGTGTGTGACTGTGTAAGCGAGACTGTGTGTGTGACTGTGTAAGTGAGACTGTGTGTGACTGTGTGTGTGACTGTGTAAGTGAGACTGTGTGTGACTGTGTGTGTGACTGTGTAAGTGAGACTGTGTGTGACTGTGTGTGTGACTGTGTAAGTGAGACTGTGTGTGACTGTGTGTGTGACTGTGTAAGTGAGACTGTGTGTGACTGTGTGTGTGACTGTGTAAGTGAGACTGTGTGTGACTGTGTGTGTGACTGTGTAAGTGAGACTGTGTGTGACTGTGTGTGTGACTGTGTGTGACTGTGAGTGACATTTCAGGCTGAGTGGACCTGTCTGTGACTGTGTGACTGTGTGACTGTGTGTGTGACTGTGTAAGTGAGACTGTGTGTGACTGTGTGACTGTGTAAGTGAGACTGTGTGTGACTGTGTGACTGTGAGAGTGACATTTCAGGCTGAGTGGACCTGTCTGTGACTGTGTGTGTGACAGTGTGTGACTGTGTAAGTGAGACTGTGTGTGTATGTGACTGTGTGTGACTGTCTGTGTGTGTGTGACTGTGTATGTGTGTGACTGTGTGTGTGACTGTGTGAGTGACATTTCAGGCTGAGTGGACCTGTCTGTGACTGTGTGTGACTGTGTAAGTGTGACTGTGTGTGACTGTATGTGACTGTGTGTGACTGTGTGTGACTGTGTGATAGTCTGTGTGACTGTGTGTGTGACTGTGTGAGTGTGACTGTGTGTGACTGTGTGACTGTGTAAGTGAGACTGTGTATGTATGTGACTGTGTGTGTGTGTGTGACTGTGTGTGACTGTATGAGACTGTGTGTGACTGTGTGCGACTGTGTGTGTGTGTGTGACTGTGTGTGACTGTGTAAGTGAGACTGTGTGTGTGTATGTGTGTGTGTGTGTGTGACTGTGTGTGTGACTGTGAGTGTGACTGTGTGTGTGTGTGTGACTGTGTAAGTGTGACTGTGAGTGACATTTCAGGCTGAGTGGACCTGTCTGTGACTGTGTGTGTGTGTGTGACTGTGTGTGTGACTGTGTGTGTGTGACTGTGTGTGTGTGACTGTGTGTGTGTGACTGTGTGTGTGTGACTGTGTGTGTGTGACTGTGTGTGTGACTGTGTGTGTGACTCTGTGAGTGTGACTGTGAGTGACATTTCAGGCTGAGTGGACCTGTCTGTGACTGTGTGTGTGTGACTGTGTGTGTGACTGTGTGTGTATGTGACTGTGTGTGTGTGTGACTGTGTGTGTGTGACTGTGTGAGTGACATTTCAGGCTGAGTGGACCTGTCTGTGACTGTGTGACTGTGTAAGTGAGACTGTGTGTGTGACTGTGTGTGTATGTGACTGTGAGTGACATTTCAGGCTGAGTGGACCTGTCTGTGACTGTGTGTGTGTGTGACTGTGTGTGTGTGACTGTGTGTGTGTGTGACTGTGTGAGTGACATTTCAGGCTGAGTGGACCTGTCTGTGACTGTGTGTGTGACTGTGTGTGTGACTGTGTGTGTGTGACTGTGTGTGTGTGTGACTGTGTGAGTGACATTTCAGGCTGAGTGGACCTGTCTGTGACTGTGTGTGTGTGTGACTGTGTGACTGTGTGTGTGACTGTGTGAGTGACATTTCAGGCTGAGTGGACCTGTCTGTGACTGTGTGACTGTGTGAGTGACTGTGTGTGTATGTGACTGTGTGTGACTGTCTGTGTGTGTGTATGTGACTGTGTGTGACTGACTGTGTGACTGTGTAAGTGTGACTGTGTGTGTGTGACTGTGTGTATGTGACTGTGAGTGTGACTGTGTGTGACTGTGACTGTGTGTGTGACTGTGTGTGACTGTGAGTGACATTTCAGGCTGAGTGGACCTGTCTGTGACTGTGTGTGTGTGACTGTGTGTGTGACTGTGTGTGTGTGACTGTGTGTGTGTGACTGTGTGTGTGTGTGACAGTGTGACTGTGTGTGTGTGTGACTGTGTGACTGTGTGTATGTGACTGTGAGTGACATTTCAGGCTGAGTGGACCTGTCTGTGACTGTGTGTGTGTGACTGTGTGTGTGTGTGTGACTGTGTGTGTGACTGTGTGTGTGTGACTGTGTGTGTGTGTGACTCTGTGTGTGACTGTGTGTGTGACTGTGTGTGTGTGTGTGACTGTGTGTGACTGTGTAAGTGAGACTGTGTATGTATGTGACTGTGTGTGACTGTGTGAGTGACATTTCAGGCTGAGTGGACCTGTCTGTGACTGTGTGTGTGACTGTGTGTGACTGTGTATGTGTGTGACTGTGTGACTGTGTGTGACTGTGAGTGTGACTGTGAGTGACATTTCAGGCTGAGTGGACCTGTCTGTGACTGTGTGTGTGTGACAGTGTGTGTGTGTGTGACTGTGTGTGACTGTGTGTGTGACTGTGTGTGTGTGACTGTAAGTGTGACTGTGAGTGTGACTGTGTGTGTGTGACTGTGTGACTGTGTGTGTGACTGTGAGTGACATTTCAGGCTGAGTGGACCTGTCTGTGACTGTGTGTGTGTGACTGTGAGACTGTGTGTGTGTGTGTAAGTGTGACTATGTGAGTGACATTTCAGGCTGAGTGGACCTGTCTGTGACTGTGTGTGTGACTGTTTGACTGTGTAAGTGTGACTGTGAGACTGTGTGTGTGACTGTAAGTGTGACTGTGAGTGACATTTCAGGCTGAGTGGACCTGTCTGTGTGTGTGACTGTGTGTATGTGACTGTGAGTGACATTTCAGGCTGAGTGGACCTGTCTGTGTGTGTGACTGTGTGTGTGACTGTGTGACTGTGTGTGTGTGACTGTGTGTGTGTGTGACTCTGTGTGTGTGAGACTGTGTGTGTGACTGTGTGTGTGACTGTGTGTGACTGTGTAAGTGAGACTGTGTATGTATGTGACTGTAAGTGTGACTGTGTGAGTGACATTTCAGGCTGAGTGGACCTGTCTGTGACTGTGTGTGTGTGTGACTGTGAGTGACTGTATGTGACAGTGTGTGTGACTGTGTGTGTGACTGTGTGTGACTGTGTAAGTGAGACTGTGTGAGTGACATTTCAGGCTGAGTGGACCTGTCTGTGACTGTGTGTGTATGTGTGTGTGTGTGACTGTGTGTGACTGTGTGAGTGACATTTCAGGCTGAGTGGACCTGTCTGTGACTGTGTGTGTGTGTGACTGTGTGTGACTGTGTGTGAGACTGTGTGAGTGACATTTCAGGCTGAGTGGACCTGTCTGTGACTGTGTGTGTGTGTGACTGTGTGTGACTGTGTAAGTGAGACTGTGTGAGTGACATTTCAGGCTGAGTGGACCTGTCTGTGACTGTGTGTGTGTGTGTGTGACTGTGTGTCACTGTGAGTGACATTTCAGGCTGAGTGGACCTGTCTGCGCTGCTCCGTGGCCAGCTGCCGCTGGGCCCTCTCCTTCTGCGCCTCCCAATTCAGGGGCAGCTGCTGCTGATGAGACTCCTCCTGGACCTGCTGTTGATTCAGCTTCCTAGACTCATT